AAAAGGGAAAACCCAATTTTGCAGAGGCACCTAGTTTCAGGGGGAGGGGGGAGGGGGGAGGGGGGAGGGGGAAGGGGTCGGGAGCTTTTGGAAATTCGTTCACGAAACCAGCCACAAATCTCTCTCGCGCTGCCACGAAGGAGGCCCAGAGAAGAAACAGCCGAATTATTTTTCTATGTCGGCTCACCGCAGAAACGTGTGGGATTTCTTTTTTTTCACGAAAGTATCGTGGGATCCAAGCCTTAGTGAGCCCATTTTCAGACTTCAATTGGGATCCCACAAGCTAACAGGGACTTCGGGACCCGAAAAAAAATCGGCTGTTTCTACTCACTGTGTGTGTCATGTCAATCAGGCCGCGACAGCCACCGCGAAGCGACAATGGTTTTCCAAATAGCGGCCAGCCCCTTCCCTCTATTCCCTGAAAGCAGGCAGGGCGAATGGAGTTCTGTTTTTTTTTTTTTTTTTGGATAGAACCAATAGAAATCCACAGGTCCCTGGCACGCCTACCCCTTTCCACCATACTTCTTGTGATAGCCCTCGAAGGTCGGGGCTGTGGGATTCAAAAACAATTACACGGACAGAACTGCGTGATAAAGTGCCTACTCCCAAGGCACTTTTCCGATTTTTTGGTGCATTTTTTTTCTTTTTGGTACGTCTTGTGGAATCCAAGCCCGTGAAAGAAAAACCAAAGCTACTGATCCGACAGTACTTCAAACGTAAGAAAATGTAAAAGAAACCGAAAAGTCTGGGCCGGCCCATGAGACTCGTGAAAGAAAAACTGGACCCCACGGTCCCGCCGAAGGAGGTACGAAGACAGCACTGCCCCTGGTTCCTCGAAAAGACTATGTAGTCCACGAGGTCCAGTGGGAGGTTTTTTTGAGAGACCATCCCCTTGTGTGTGGCTGTTTGAAAGTTGGACCCGGACATGACAAAAACCGAAGAAATAAAATAAAAATCCTTCCCCGTCTTTTGTGCTGCAGAGACCGTTTGCGGCTCTGTTGAAAAACGGGACATTTTCTTGCGGAATGGAATCCGCGCGGCGTGGCACAATACCCCAACTCCAAAATGGCCTGTGACGGTGCTGGCATCTCCTGCGACCGCAGAAACAAGTCGGATCCCCATGAACTCCAAAAAGTACTTGACCTAAGTACTGTAGGATGAGTAGCTTATTCTGACACATTGTGCACGAGGTGGGCTGCTCTCAACAGCCTGTGTGGCCATCACAAACTGTTGACCTTCCTCGATTCTACAGCAGTGTGGCGAGACCCAAAGTATACCTTTTCTCGCTCCATTACTCTAGTTTCAATCAAGAGAAAACTGGAGTGCACCGCCACTCCGCTTACTCTTGAAATCAGCGGTGCAAAATTTCTTCTAGAGTTGTCAAAAGCTACTCAAGAAAACGTATCGAGTAATGTGTCTCTCCACTGACTCTAGAATGGAGCTCTAGAATATCATTTTCTAGAGTTTATGGTGGGTTGCACACTCTAGATTGGTCTAGAGTGCTTGCCTGTGATGGCGGGATTTTCAAGTGTTGTTGCCTGTACCCTTGATGCCGTCTTGAGTCGGCCTGGTGTCTGGGCCGACTACCACCTCTCGCGCGACAGCACAAGGCTTGACTCTTTTCTGTCTCTGAAAACAAGAAAACATTTCAAAAAAAGAAACAAAAATTTCTCCTCTTTTATTTCTAGAGTAGGGTCGTCTAGAGTTAGGCCCTCTTTCTACACCACTTGAAAATACTTGAGTTTCAAGTTCACCCTATGGGCGTCGCTGCACTACTCTAGAAATTTGCAAAACGAGAGTGAATATTCCGCTAGAATATGGAAAGATACACGGCCATGATTTTTGTCTTTTGTGCATTTCAAGAGTAGTGCAGCGAGGCCCTATATTCGAGAAATTGAGATTAACTTATACTCACTCCATTTATGGTTCCACGCACACTTGAGTAAACCCTTGAGTAAACCCTTGAGTAAACCCTTGAACAAGCTGCACTTGAAACCCGAAACCCACACCT